TACTTTGACTCGGGCCTTCACTTCTAATTTTAACTTCGTCTTTCCCTTGACTTTCAATAGTTGTAGCCGTTAGTCTTTACTTCCAATAGTTTAATAGCCGTTAGTCTTTACTTCCAATAGTCTTATTGCCATTAGTCTTTTTTTTTTGTTTTCTAATACCTTTTTCCAATATTCGTAGCTTCTTTATTTTCTTCAGGGAGGGGGTACGGATGAATCTTACAGTCACCTACCAAATGTAATGTAAACAGCAAAATTATTCCTTTTAAAGTCCCTATTTGCAGAATAACCCAGGACAGTTTATGTAATATAGAACGATATTACTTCGAAAGAGGGTACGGATTTGGCAGAGGCAAATGTATACTTTATTAGAATATATGTGAGATGCTTTTACATGTTGCTAAATGCTGAGTATATATAGTATTTACATATCTACTAATTTTAATAAATCTACCGAATCTACTATATTTACTACATCTTCTATATCTAATAAATCTACTGTTCCTACCCGATCTACTAATTCTACTGCTATTACTCAATATGGCTATATGCGATCTCTAAATAAATATGTACCCGATCCTTACATTTGATCATATATATCGATCATACTATTTTGATTGTTACACTATATAGTATTATTAATTACTAATATTTATATTTAGCAGGAGTGATATATATTGATTATAATCTAAGGGATTATATTCAATATATATTCTAAAAAAATTTCTGATAAATATATTTACATAATTGCAAACTAATTAAATTTATTTAGTTTTTTGATTTTATATAAATTTAAATCATAATCTATAGTATCATATAGTATTATTTAATTATATATCTAATTCTTTGTTACTATACTTGTAAATAGGAATAGACAAAAAATAGTTTAAAAGTTTTTTTAAAACATTTTAAAAAATTTTAAACTATTGACTCTGAGACAAAAAATTTAGTTAAAACTAGAATTGCTACCTCTGATTATTAAGTTCTATAATACTTGTAGTTAGACTTAAAAAAAAATTTGTATCTAAGATAGAGTTTATTTATTATATTTAAAAACTATATTTATTTTTAATATTTAAATAATTAATGTGCATAATATGATTTGAAAGATTATAAGCTAAAGAGAGTAATTAATATAAATAAAATAATTTAAAAGCATTATAATAGTAAATACTAAAAACTCTTCCTGCAAATCACTTTTACCAAAACTGGAACTAAAGAGGAAAAAACTTTCAAGATGAATAACTGTAAATTTCACTAAGTTAACATATCTCTGGCTCCTAAGTAAACTTGTTCGGCACCTAAACTAGCATATAAAAAGCATACACTAGTGGTTATAAGACTTTTCCTGCCAACACCACAGACAGAAACAAAAGAAACAGCCTTCTGGCAAACCTTTACTTTCCTTGTGGAATTGGTTCTATGGACCCTTCTACAACAACAGATGCTGCAACTAGCAGCAAGACTACAACAAATAACAACAACAACCAAGCTTACCTAGAACCTGAAACAACTACCCAGCAAGCACCTACAAACACTAGCTCCTCCAGTGGCTTTTCTATTATAAACTCCTTAATCTATCTTACTGGCAAGTCAAGTTCTAAAACCACAACACCCACTATCTCAAACA